GAGAGCGTTTATGAGGCAGCTGAGCCTCACTGGCCATCTGGGATTCAGCTGCAGGGACACCAAATGGGCCTCTCAGGACCCAGCCCGGGCTGGACAACAGCACCACGTGGGAGCACCCGACCCTCTGCCCTGCCGTAGCCCCAACCATGCCCAGTGCGGGCCTCCCCGGTGGCCCCAGAACCAGCAGGGCCCTGCTCCTCCGAGTGTGTCCAAGGGGTCGGCAACATCAGCATCACCCGGAACCTGTGGACAATGCAGAGCCTCGGGCCCCAGCCCTGACGCAGGAATCAGAATCCGAATTTTAACAAGACCCCAAGTGATTCCCACACACCTGAGAATGTGAGGGAAGCTCTTCTTTAGGAGACAGCTTTTCAGCTGGAGACAAAATCACCCTTAAGGGGGCAAAAACCGGTTCTTGAGGGGTGTGAACAATCTTACATTCTTACGTATACAGCCCAGGTCGCATACAGAACTTGAACAGACAAACTGTCGTGGGCAGAGGAGCATCTAGGAGAACAATGTCTCAAGACCTCCTGCAGAGGCTGGTCAAGCAGACAGTAGAGAATCCCCGCTCCAAGTTGCGGATCCTGGGCGGGCTCGGCTGGGGACGTGGCCTCCACTCTGTTTCAGGGGTGCCCCTCGTCTGTTTGCCCAGGAATGGTCTCAGTTTTCAAGCTGCTGGCCCAGCGTCCTGGGAACCCCCTCAGTTCCCGTTGGCCGCCCTGTGTCCCCCAGCCCCTTATTAACCGAACGACATCCTCCTACAGGCAGGGTATTAGGAGGGGGGGCGTAGGAGCCTCTACAGATCATGTCGTTCTTAGTTTCCTATTCCAAACACTATTTATCTTCACCTTGAAATCGCCGCGGCTCTACCCCGGAGTAGACACAAACTGAACATCAACTCTCCACTGGACCGTGAGTGCCCACGTTCCACGCTTGCCTCTGTAGCTTCCGGCTCTGGCCGCTGAAATCCCCCGCGCCCGGACAAGGAGGGTTGGGACGCACAGGTGTCAGCCTTGGGAAGCCAGCAGGGATGAGTGAGCAGGACCAGACCATGGGCGTGTGTGCATCTCAAGGGGAGAGGATGGGAGGGGCAGCAGGGGGAGGAGCTGGGAAGGGCTACGGGGCCCCACCAAGGATGAAGCCGAGGAAAGGGAGCACAGCTGAGGATGGAGAACGAGGGACACGTGCAAGAGCCATTTAGGAAGTCAGATCTGGGTGGTGTGGCCAGCGGGGTGATGACCAGGCAGTGAGCTGAACGGCAGAGCCAAGCCCATGTGTCCATGACCTCCAGAGACGGTGCATGGCCTCATGTGGAAAAAGGGTGGTTGTGGGTGTAATTAAGTTAGAGCTCTTGAGATGAGATCACCCCGGATCACCGGGGTGGGCCCTAAATCCAACGGCAAGTGTCCTCATAAGGCACACACAGAGAAGGACACACAAAGGAGAAGCCATGGGGACAGGGCCTGGAGTGCCCTCAGCCACAGGAGTGGGAAGAGACAGGAAGGACGCTGCTCTGGAGCTTCAGGGGCATCCCGGCCCCGCCTACACCTCTGTCTGGAGGCTGCGAGAGAACAAACTCCTGTTGCTTTCATCCTTTGTTCCAGTGGCCCCAGGACCTTCCCACAACGGACATCAGGCAAGTGCCGGGCAGGCTGGTCTGAGCGAGAGTGCTCCTCCTCTTGCCCTCAGCCCTGGGGCTCCGGGACGGAAGGGGCTGGTGGGGACCAGCTCTGAAGCCAATCTGCTATCCCAGGGACGGGCTCACTGCGGCCCCACCCCGAAGAAAGGGGCAGGCTGTTGGATCAGCGAAGCCCGCTGGGGGCAGATGCTGCTGACATGTGGCCCATGAAATGTGGGACAATGAAAGATGCACTCAGCTTAGACTTCAGGGAGCCATTTCCAGAATGTAAATACCATACCTGTCATTAAAAATGTATTGATGGTGGGGTGCCTGGGTGGCTCAGACGGTTAAGTGTCTGCCTTCGGCTCAGGTCATGATCCCAGGGTCCTGGGATGGAGCCCCGCATCGGGCTCCCTGCTCAGCGGGGAGCCTGCTTCTCCCTCTGCCTCTCCCTGCTGCTCCCCCTGCTTGTGCTCTCGCTCTCTCTCTCTCTGCCAAATAAATAAATAAAATCTTTAAAGAAAATGTGTTGCTGGCGACTACACAGGAGAATCCTTGGGAGGCTGGGGGCGCGTCCACTGAGCATGGCTTTAATATGTGCGCTCCAGGCATGGACTCTGCCAGCCCCCATCCTCGCGGGCCTTGTACGGCAGATGGCGGAGGTGTGGCACCCCACGCAAGACCAGTGGCAATCTTTCCACTTCTAAAGACGCTCACCCAAGTCCCCAAATAGAGAGCATATGAGCCGATCATGCTCACAAGACCAAGTGTGAGTGGCAGGTAAACACAGAAGCTGCTCACCCTCGCCAAGAACCCAAGGGACACAAAGGAGAGCGGCCTCGCACTGCGGGGCCTAGCAAGTGCAGGCCAGCCCACCGGGAACCGCTCACCCTCTGGCTCGCTCTCTGGCTCGGTTGTCACTCCCCGAGATTCTGCCCAGGGAACAAAATGAGGAGGAAAACCACACGTCTACATGCTTTACGGTGGCGGCATGGCTTAGCATCGGAAGGAACCTACTCCCCCGTGAGTTTGCGGCCTCAGAGCGCGCTGATATGGACGCGGGCCCACAGGGACAAACTGGAAACAGACGCGTAAAGAAAGGAGAACGCGAGACGCTATTCCACATCTGACTCTATAAATATGTCCGTGTGAGATAGATAAACAGGAAGGAATGGCGCTGAACGGGGACGGGGGTGATCCTGACATGACTAATGCCTTTGCATGTATTTTTAATAAGGGAGAGGAAATATCTGCGTACAGACAGTGATGAGAGCACGGAGAATTGAAGTCTGTTGATTTGCTTTGGAGAAAACCTCCATCGAGACTGTGCGCCCTTCTAGGGACGTTTCAGGTCGGCTGGCTGGGTGCACACTCTCCGAGGCAGGGGCAGATCAGGACCCGAGGCTCGGGGCAGAGCGGAGGGAGCCCCCGTCGGAGCAGCCCCAAGGTGGGTGGTTGGCCTCTCTCTCGGCTTCTCTACTTGCGTCTGAAAAATCTGAGTCTGGAGCCCGTAAGCAAGAAGGCCTGGCCCCCGCACCACGGGGCTGGCCCAAATCCGCCGTCCCCACCATGTCCCCCATGAGGATGGGCAGCTCTGTCCCGTGGGCACAGATCACACAAGGAGGGCTGTTCACTGTTGAAACAACATTTACGACACCCCGTCTCCCCCGTGTGCGGCCCGCGGAGATGCTGCAGAGAGTGGAGGACCCCCGGCACTCGGGATGGTCAGCGGGTGCAGAGGAAGGAAGAGCCCCCACTTCAGGACTCGGCATGCAGCAGGCCGGGCCGACGAGGGGGCTACAGAAATCTGCTTGGGAGAAGAGAAGACTCAGGTGCCTCTGTTCACTGTGTAGCCCGGGCACCCGTCCTTGGACCATCCACCTAGCGAGGGGAAACGCCCTCCACGGGCCAGCCCTTCCCCGGGGGGCCTCAGCCTGAAACCAGTCCCAGAACACAAACCCTCAAACGGCTGCAACGACACGTCGCTGGGACTGTAGCTCTCAGGCCATTTTCCACTCTCATCCCAAATGCCGAGCACCTCCCACGACACTGAGTGGCATTTTTGAAAGCAACCCTCCTACCTCTCCTTGGTGGGCGAGCTGCTTTGAGGCACAAGATGAAAATCCACCAACACATGAGGTCATGGGGGGGCGGGCAGGACAACATCTGTCCTCTTTGCAGGATGCGGACTCCTTTCCCTGAGGCTGGTGGGGGAACTGAGGGGCAGGCTGGGGCGTCTACGGGGTGAGCCCGGCCGAGAGGAGCCGGCTAGCAGAGGTGCTCAGGCTAGAGGGGTAAGAAGAACGCAGGGCAGGACAAGTGGCTTACTCCCCACACTCAGCACCATCAGCACCCCCAGTGACCAGGCCAGCTGGCCCCAAGGCGACACCATCCCTTACACAACAAGGAAAGGACCCAGCTCGAGGTGCCATTTCAACACCTTCCCAAAGCATCACGGAAATCCCCCAAGAGCCAACAGAATCAATCATCATGCTCCTGCCCTAGAAGCAAAGCCAAAAGCCAAAAATAAATCAACTCGAGGGGGCCGCACACACACACACACAGGAGTCCTGATGAGCAGGTTTGGGTGTTGTTTATGGATTTCAAATAGAAAAATGAATTAATTATTACTTGAGAAACACATCTTGAAAACCAAAACAGCTCAACACCCAGTGAACGTGGGAGTGGAGAACGGCGCTTGCAGGAAACAGAATCCTCACCCGAGAAAAGCTTTGAAAGGACAGCCCGGGACGCTGGGAGCCTCCCTTCCCCCTTCCCGGGTGAGCAGGTGTAAATATTGAAGACGATAGTAACCGAAATGATTTCTCAAAACCTCCTTCTCTCCCACCTCGTTTAAAACATCAAAGGGGCTGCTTAATGTTCTTGGGCTGAGTTCACATCTCTCATATAAAGAGATATCCCCCGACGCCGGTGGGTTATTTATTTACCAAGGTCTTCAGCTGAGCCAGGAAGAAAAAAACATGTCTGAACAATGAGGGTAATCAGCGTATTTGGTGGGCTCTGGGAGCCGCGTCTGAAGCCCAGGGCATGGATGGAGGGCATCTGTGCACTGACCTGAATTCACAATGCAAACCCTCTTCCTCCGGGGATGAGAAAAGGAAGGGGAGAGGAAACACAGAAAGAAAAGCAAGCGAAGACGCTTTCTAAAGGGCTGTCTCTTCTCCAGGGCTGTGTGTGCCCACCGACGAAACCCTCAATCGCCCTCCATGTCTCTTACACGCATTGTGCAGCCAAAAGGAAGTTAGGAGACCGTCAACTCAGAGGGATGCTCTAGCCGGGCGTGGGGGTCTCGGCCCTCGGCCCAGGGAGACGTGCAGGTGCATAAGGAGAAAGGCCCACCCTCAGGGTGACTTACCGCCACAGAGAACTTTCCAGAACCTTCCCCATGTCTGCATGGTAATACTTCGTCAGGATCAAGATCACCTGTGGTGGCAACAGAGAGACAGAAATCAGTGGGTTCCAAGGCTCTGAAAGAGGAATATGATGACACCCCCCGACCACCACCCAGGATTTGGGGCATTGTGTCAAGCCTCAGCTGCCTAGGCCTTTCTGTCAGGCTTCCCGGGGTCTCCAGCCACCCTGCAGCAGAGCGCCTAGACACAAGGCTTCTGTCTGCTCTGAAACCTCACCCCGCTCTTCACAGTGACTTTGGGAACATCCCAATCCCGTGAGGTCCACCTGGTAGCTGCCAGGAAACATTCAAACCCAGCCCTGGACCATCTCAAACTGGGGCCAAAGGGACAGCCGCGGGGGTGGCCCAGGCTGGGCAGAGAACGCATCTGACAAGGCTTCTGAAGATGGGGACTTGGAGAACAGCCAAGAACACCAACTGGGGCTGCACCCAAGACAAGAGGAGGCCCCAGAAGGGCAGGCTGTGGTTACTCCCTTCTGAGCGCTGGCTGATGGCAGAGCCAGACACAGGGTGTGGAAGGCCCGAGAACAGCCCAGCGGGCCGGCGGTGGGCCCCACACCATCGACGGCGCCCACACTGTTTCGAGGCTGCTGAACGACTCATCACACGCACTGGGCCCCGCATGACCAAGCCTGTCCCATCTCACACCCCTGCAGCAAAGGCAACTGCTCGTCCTGATGACAACACCTGTATTTAAGAGCACCCAAAAGTTCTCGCAGACACGCGGAGGAGCAAGAACAACAGAAAGGAAGTGAGGATTTGCCTGGCCGGGGGGAAAAAGCGCCTTCTCCCCAATTACTTCACTGGCCGATGCATTTTCCCATACATCAAATTTCATTTCACTCCTTACCAGTCCCTATTAGCTGCTCCTAACACTCCCATTGCCATGGGAACCCCGGGAGGTAACCGGGGAACACCCTCCCCACTGCTCCCGGCAGAGCCCTTAGCCCAGCTAATCTGGGGTCAGCACGACTTCCTGGGCTCTCGGGTTTGGGGGCACGGCTGCCCCCACACCCAGTCTGGCTGATCTTCCTTTGCCTGGTGATGAAAGCAGGGAAGGCATGAGGCAGGGATGCCAGCCGTGTCCTGGAGGCAGCGATGATCAAAAACAAACTCGAGGCCCCGTCCGCGGAGGCGCGATCAGCCCTGCCCTACTTGGGAACAAAGCAATTTTCTCCTGCCGGGCTCTCGGGCTGCCGGAGCAGAGCAAGAATCCTCCAAAGACCGAGGGAGGCAGACAGAGTGACAGGGCCTGGACGTGTAGGAGACAAGCATATTTTTAACCTATTGATTTATATTTTATAGTCTTGCTATTCCCAGAGGGGATTTCGAGGAGCCAGAGGGTGACAGCTGGAGGGGACCTCAAAGTCTGTTTAATCCAGCCCCTCCAGGGTGAAATCCTCAACCAATATCCTTATCACGCCCCTGCCATCGGAGCCTTGCCCACACACTTCAAGGGATGGGGAGCTCACCCCCTAACATGGCGCTCCGGCCCTTCTGTAGGCTGAGCTCCTTGTCCAGTGGTTTCTGCTGCTGGGACTCCTGCCCTGGGGCCCCTCTCTAGGCGGGGCTAGTCCCTGCGCACCGCCTTCTGGGCAGGGCTCTCCACTTAGGCCCACACTCCTCCTGCCGCCCGAATTCCTTGGGTAATTCCTCCTGGACTCTCCGACCTCAGTCTAACAAACAGCACCTCCAGGAAGTCTTCCAAGCCCCTCCCCTGGTCCATGCCCCCCACACTTCCCCAGACCCTGTGCTCTCCCCTCCGGCACCGTTCCTGGGGCCGGTTTCCACCACTTGATGATGAGCCCTTTGGGGGAGAGGGCTGTGTCCTGCTTCATGTCCCAGCGCTGGGCGCGGCTCCTGCTGACATGACTAAGGCAATGAAGCCAGGAGAGACGAGTACCCCGGGCCAGGGCCCCATCCCCCTGCCCTGGCCATCTACTCACAAGTCACCCTCTGCCATCTAGAATACACACCATCCACTCCTCGTGCAAGGGGACAGAATCGCTCTGCTGGTACCACCATGACCCAGGAAGCTGAATGAGCATTTGGGCTCTGGAGGCCAGGAACCGGGGCCATCCTCGCCCGGGGCTGAGACCAGGAGCCCCCCAAGAGGGGTCAGCCCTGGGGGAGCCCGGCATGCACCCGAGTCTGCAGCTGGTGGCGGAAGGAGCCCTCTGCTTTGGGGTCAGCCCCTCCAAGCCTGACGTACCTCAGTTCCCCACCTGCCGAGAGGCAGTAATACCCAGCTCCCTGTGATGGTGAGGATGCCGGAGCAAGCAGCCACTGAGAAGGGGCCACGCTCTCGCTCACATTCGCTGGTGTCAGCTCTGTCCCCGACCCACGCACCGCCCCGGGTGACTCAGCCCACACACATCAACCCTCTTTACACCCGGGACCCAGGGGGCAGCTGCAGCTATCATCCGCACCGACAGATGAAGGAACGAAAGCAGAGAGAGCGTAAGCACCGTGCGCACAGCCAGCGACCACCTGAGCCCACCTGGGAGCCCGGGCGATGCTCCTCAGCGCTCGGGGCAAGGCCAGGTCTCCACCATCTGCGCTGCGGATACCGTCCTGAAATTCTCCCAAGTGTTTGAACAAGGGCCCCATGTTTTCATTACTTTTTGAAAGTTGTTCAAAGAACTAAAAACTATGGGCTGCCCATCTGGGGGTCCTCTGTTAACAGCTTTGGAAATGAAATATCCCGGGAACCATTTTCTAGTGGCTGGCCTATTCCCACAGCTCTGGGGTGCTTTGATCCAGGTGGGAGAAAAACCTGGAATGAGAGTTGGGGTTTCTGTGCCCCAGCCGTCGCCAACGGTCTCCTCCCATCCCCTGAGCCCACCGCCCGCCCACACAACTCCTTCCAGACAGTCAGGAATGCCCAAGGAGGAGACCAGGATTGAGAACTGCCCCTGCAGAGAGAGGACGGGTCCCACGTCAGCTCTGTGTCTCCTCTCCTCACTTCCAGCCCCCCCAGGCACAGGAGGTGGGTGGGATCATAGTGGGGGTGCTGCTTCTGACTCCCTGGATGACCCGTCCCCTAGGTCCAGCCAACCCGTGACTCCAGTGAGAGAAGCCGAGCTCTCTGGACTTCCCAGCCCTGTTCCTCCTTGAGGCTGCTGCGCTATGGGCTCCATCAGGGAGGGGACATGATCCACTTCGTTCCACCCGAATTCCCAGGGCTTAGCACAGAGCAAGAGTTCACCAATATTCATTGAATGAATGAATGAATATCCCTGCCCAGAAGCAGATCCAGGCAGGAGACAGTCCTTCAGGCCGTGGCCACAGCCAACCCCAGCTGACCCCGCTACCCCCTGTTGCCAGGGAGTCGGGGGGGAAACCCTCCAGAGCCCATCCCCCTGGACCACCCTCTCCTTCTGACACCAACAAATACCACCTGAGGGTCCAGAACTTGCCCCGTTCTTGAGACCCCCAGCTCATTCACAGCAATCCCTGCCCAAGCCTCAGGGGAGGGATCTCAAGAATCCTGGTGGGGTGAAGCCCACCCCCTTCCCAGGGACAGCACACACGAGGTGTCCCCAGCCGGAGTGTGCCAGGTAGCCAGGACCAGTGGGCTGGGGTGTGACCCGAGCAGCCCCCCAGGGCCTCCCACTCAGAAGGGCCTGCTCTTGGTTTTGCTCTGCTGTCCCCATCTTGAAGTTCTTGAAAAATGTTTGAACAAAGGGCCCTATGTTTTCACAATGCATTGGACCCTGTGAATAGCATAGCTGGGCCTGACATGGCCCAGTCTGAATCCCCCTCCAGCCCCTCATGGGGTTGGAGTGTGTCTGTGGATACCTAGTCCTACCGACCCTGCTGAATCTCACCCCCAGCTCAGGGAAGCAGGAGGACAGGCTGATGGGGGCTGGAAAAAGGCATCAGATTTAACATCGGAGCCCAGTGGAACTTGGTACGGCTTCATCCAAAGCCTGCCTTTAGAAATGGAGAAGCAGATTCAGAGAAGGGAAGGGGGCTCAGCAGGGGCAGGCCCGGGTCTCCTGAGAGCCCCATCTGGGGCCCAGGGGTAAGCGTCCAGGGACGGGAGCCGTGGGCCTCACCAGCCTGGTCCTCTGCTGAGAGGCAGTCCAGGGCTCTCTCCCCAAGAAGGAAAAGAAACCCTAACTCATGCAGAGACCCTCGGTGGGTTGTTGAGCCCCCTCCTTGGCCACTACCAGCCCGCCTCCTCCCCCCGCCACAAGCCAATTCCAGACCCAGACGGTGAGTCGCTGCCCCCACGACACCTGACAGCCCTTCACTCCCCTGTTCTGCAAAGAGCCTGTACAATGCACTTAGAAACAAGGCGGCGGGTCTGTCCCTCAAAGCTCCTGGAAACAGCCCTGCAGTTGGAGGACCCAGCAGAGTCACCAACCAGCAGGGGACCCTTAAGTGGCACGAGCAGATCTGCCAGTCTGAGAGGAGGCTGGCTCAGGGGCAGTGTCGGGGCCCAGGGCTGCGGAGGCCCGCAGCACAACAATGAACATCTCCACCTACAAACGGCGTCCACCTTTATCAGGTGGACTGGCACGGCTGGTACCACGTCTCCGATGGAAGAAAACAAACAAGGAGGGTGCGGGGCATGGGGACAAGCCTGGCCCTCTGAGCCTCAGTTTCCTTAGCCATGCATCGGAGCGGACTCAGGTAGGACCTCACAAGGCTGCTGGGAAGGTGATGTCCATCCACACGGGCTTACGCCAGGAATGAGAGCGCAGATGCCTGGAGCCCAGGCCCCTCCCCCTGCACGGCCACTAGCACGTGTCTAGGTCAGCATCCTGGGGAGGGAGTCCCCACAGCGGCACTGACCAGAGGTCCTGCAGCCTCCCGTGAAACACTGGGCCTCTGCCCGTGGCCAGGCCCCCTTCGACAGCGCGGTCATGAGTGGAGACACAAGTCCTTCGTGCGGGCAGATCGTTGAGCCGGGTGCCTTCCAAGGGCTCAAGAATAATCCAAGGAAAGTAACAAATACTCAGGCTCAATTCAGCTGTCCATCAATGAGCACACTGCACACACA